TGCCGAACTCAGCACTGAACTAAATCTGATCCAAACTCAGAGGCAGCCCAAAAGAGACTCAGAGGGAAAAAATAATAAAAAATAAATAAAATAAAGTGCTGAATTATGCAGAAGCAGGGACAAGTCTCTCTCTCTCTCTCTCTCTCTCTCTCTCTCTCTCTCTCTCTCTCTCTCTGTTTTCCCCTTTTCCCTCGCTCCCTGGCATCGATCCCTCCTCCCAAGATCAAAGCTTTCTTTCTTGAAAAGTCAGGGGGAGGAAGGGTAAGATTGAAAGGGGTGGGGAGGGGGAGAGAAGAAGAGAACCTTAAAATAAGAGATGTGGTGTCTTGGAAGCCGATTTGCATATAAAGTAAACACTTCCTGTTAATAGGCAGCGGAATCCCCCCCACCCCCACCCTCGTTTCCCCTTGCCTCCCCTAGCACGTTTTTTTTCCTGTCATCTCTCCCCTGATTCCTTCCTCCCCCATCCTCTCTCTCTCTCGTTTTTTTTTTTTTTTTTTTTTTTTTTACATCCGTGTGAGGCAGACAACAACTTCTTTTATGGGCATGGTTCAGCGCCTTCCCCGGGCCACTAGAGGGTAGCCTGGTACCCTTTATGTTCCCCTGGACTGGAGCGCTCTGCTCTCCTCCTCCTCCTCCACCTCCACCATCCCCATCATCATCACCATCATCATCAGCACCACAACAGCACACAGGAGGGGTCGTTTACGTGACTGTTTTTATCTGGGGGCATTCGCCACGGTTTGTTTGTCAGTCTGACGGGGCTCCGGGTGAAACCGGGGGCCGAGGCGTCAGAGGTAATCACTGTTAGTGATTAGCGTGACCGCAGGATGACCCCTGCATACAGATGAACTCATTGGTAAAACCTGCTTCATTTGCTCATTCATCCATCCATTCATTCCTCATCAACTCAGGTTTAACAACCTTCTGCTTTTTTTTTTCCACGATGCTCATGTTCTTTCTTCTAACTGCTCCTTGTTTGCCTTTGAGAAACCCCCATAATGCATCTGACCCAGAAACACTTTTGCATTCAGAACCAGCAGGCTCCCCTTTTCCACCCACTCCCCCCACTTTGCTGCTCAGATTGGACAGAAGCAGCTTGGAGACAGAGACCAGAACAACCCATGTCACATAAGCTCACACTTCTGATTTACATTTAGCTTTGAGCGGAGCACACTATCACCTTTCAGATCGCTGCTAATTATTATCAGAACAAAAGCAATTTCATGCTCTGCGCTAATGTGTTACTGTCCAGATAGGCCCCTGCTTTGAAAACGGTATCCATAGTAATGAGAGGCTGAGCCCACATGCACCACAAGTGGTCCTTCATCCTTTCTCTTTTAAGTAGACATGCATGTGTTTTGCTAACAAGAAGACCACTTTTTTAATGTATCTAAAGGAAAAAAAAACTTAAAGAAATTAGGCTTTTTAAAAAATTTAGTTAAGAAATTTAAAGCAGCACAAGCAGGAACTGTGAAAAGGGAGAGAGCGAGGAGGTGGTGTGTGTGTGTGTGTTTGTGAGTGTGTGTGTGGTACTGGGCAGCCAAAGAAAACTGCCAAGTCCAGATAATAGTTTTCCAGTTCTCTCGCATTAGAGATTCATCACAAGAAGCATCGCTGCATGAAGTGGATAAGATAAGGCCTTCGCCATGATACTTGGTGGTGGTGTGGAAAAGAAACAGTTTTCTGAAGGGAGCTGAAGCATTTTACTGGTTTGTGGAAGAGCTGAGCACAGGAATCCAGTCAGCACTTCCACTTGTGGAGAAAATGTCAGGGCTTGTACTGTACGTTTATTTTTTCCTCTTCTGTTTCTTTCATTAAATTTGATATTTTTCTGCTTGTAAAACCTGGTTTAGTAGAAGAAGAAGTTCAAATGTTGATCCACACCTCTATAAGGTTTTCAAAGGAGTGGCCTTGTGGGGGGCATTGTTCATCTCAGGGTGGCACATCAAACCAAAATCCACTGCTGAGTTTAATTATGTTGATGTTACATGTATATAAATGCTATTTGAAAACTGCTTCAATCTGGGTGTTAGGTAATTACATTCTGATACTGACTGAGAACTGCACAGTTGGGCTGGCACAAACGATTATTTTTAGATTAATCACCAATTATTTATTTGATTAGTCGACTAATCGGATCATATGTTAATTAGCTTATCACGCCAGAATGCAGCTGCTATTGTATAACCTTCGTTAGATTTTAGCTATATGCTAACTAAAAATAATTGCTGTGGAAGGCAAGTTYTGCCTTACAGATATTGCACAGGTTTCTCTTTCATTTTCTTAAAATGATCCCACACTTTTGAGCTCCGTTGCTGGGTAGCCATGATACCAGAGCCTGTCTGTATAATGTCTTGTGACGTCCACGGCCTACCCCAGTTACCACTACTGTGCATGTGTGTCAAGGACAGAAAGGCAGATGTGGCAGTGGAAGGTGTCAAAGCAGTTTGGAGAGAAAAACAAAGTAAAGAACAAAAAAAGAAAACGATTAATCGATTATTAAATTAGTCATCGATTATTTTAATAATCGATTAGTCATCGATTAATCGATTAATCGTGGCAGCCCTACAGCATAGTCACTACTCAACACAATGAAGTGTGTCCCCCTCCACTTTCCTATATTATTAGTCATTATTTAAACTAGTGCTTCTTGAAAAAACACACCCACGTAGCAGAAAGGGGTGTAACAATACATCAATCTATRTCGATATATCGATTTGAATGGTTTTTGATTCAGTTATATCAAGGCAAAATGAAAATATCGATCTATATTGTCATCATATTCTTGATGTGAATTGATATCATATGCCCATCTAACACAATCGTGTTAGATGGGCATATGATATGGCATTATATTGATTGCAGACGTGAATTGATTTGAATMTTTTTATTTATTTAWTTACCATTATTTTACCAGGCAAGTCCCATTGAGATTTCAGATCTCTTTTTCAAGGGAGGCCTGGACCTGACGACAACCTATTGTACATGTTTTTGGGGGGTGGGGGAAACCGGAGTAGCTGGTGAAAACCCACACAAGCACGAGGAGAACATGCAAACTCCACACAGAAAGACCCCAGGCCCAAACTGGGTATCGAACCCAGGACCCTCTTGCTGTGAGGCATCGGTGCTAACCACTGATCCATTGTGCTGTGAATCGAAATTGCATCGTGACAGACTTTGTGATATTGAGAAATATCAAATCGTCATCCAAACACATCAATGTAATATYGTATAAAGCTGGCGATTTATARCCCTAGTAGCAGACAGGTGTAGGCCAGATCTGGTGTCAGCTGGCACTGCTGGCAGGGAAAGTGGTTTGTCAACCAGATGCGGGTCAGGTCTGGCAATGACAGCATTGTTTAAATGTGGCATGCCACAAATGGCCCAGTTGTGGTTTGGTTGAAAATCTATCCGAGAGYTGCAGGCCAAATACAACATGATACATGAAATGCAAAAACTTTTTAAGTAAA